TTGAATCGGTTTAATTGAACTATTCAACCGTGTAATACTAGTCAATATAAGTTCTAGAAGTCTTTTTGTTTGTCATATCGGAACTAGGTGTGATTGAAATATTTGAAATTTCATTTTTTGGATTGCCTAGTTTTCTCTAATTTGTAATTTTAGGCCAAAGTTATTTAGACATCCTAAATAGTTTAAATTTAGTCAAATCATCAAAGCTTAGCTTAAAACATTGAACCTTAATTGAAATTATTGAAAGTTAATAGGAATTTATTGTTTAATTTTTATTAAAACAATATATTTTGAAAACATATATTTATTCAATGTTTTATGGAACCTTTAATATGAAAACAATGAAAACTAAATATCATAACCAACAATTAATATATTTTGAAATGACCATAATTGAAAGGAGCATAAGAGCTGTCATTGGAAGGTAAATGTTGGATTGTTAATTGCTTGTGAATTTTTAGCTATTAGTGGACTGAGGCCAATTGCTTTGGACCCCATTGTCTTGATAGGATGGAATACAATGCAATCAAATGAATGAATATTAGAAATTGATGGTTGGCATATGTTGAATGTTGATTACTCGAAGTGTTGATAGTCATCATCAATCACCAAGATATGTTCTGCGACGATCGATAAGTTGAGTCGATGTTAGAGTCAACTCGAAGTTAGGGGGGTGATAATGTTTTCTCAAATAATATAATGAATGTTTATATCTGACTATTATATTATAAGTCATATGTGAACGAATGCATGTCAAGATTTAGATTACTAGCTTAACACATTGCATCATTAATTTATTATTTAGCCAGAATAAAAGAAAATATTGTTATTTAAAGAAAAGTGAAGCTGCGAGAATTAAGAAAGCTTTTTATTTTCAAAATAGGTCTTGGAAGTTGGATGCTTAAGTTAAAAAGTAAACATTGTTAAAATTTTAATAATTTAGCTTAATGAAATAAAAATTAATATATTTTTAATTCTAAAAATCTTCTAAATTTTTATAAAATGAGTAAATAAAATTATCACTTTCTAAAAACATATTTTTCATTTCCAAGCAACTAAAAGAGGCCAAAGTGCTTGAAACTCACATGCTTGTGTACTTACATATCCAACACCCAAAGTTCCATATTTGCAAAGATAACATGATGTCATGAACTAATGCATGACAATGTAAAAAGTATTGATGCTGGTAATGTTGATGAGATGTTAAGGATTTGAGTGGCATGCATGTGGATATGAATATTTAGGTGTTAGACATGTAAATACAGGTATGTATGTAAATGCCCATATAATACGGAAAATATACAGAAAGGTTGTACGAGAGGATCTAAAAGAAATCTCAGTTCATACAATACAACACACACAAAACCCAAATAAATCAAAGATACATAAAGACAAAAAAACAAAAAGTCACAAAATGACACAAAAAAACTATGAACGTCCCACTTTAGTCCTCCTGCCTCGAGTTTTCGGAAGTGAGCCGGTTAACAAATTTGTAAGGTGAGTACCATTGTCCGTAGTAATCAAAGTATCATCCATTAGATTCCTGAACTCGGGAGCTCGAGTAGATCTCCATTCTTCTTCTTCCCCTTGGATGTATAGACCCGTCATTCCTCATCCGATGATTGACTCATCTGATCAATAGATTCCAAAGCTGGTCAGACAGATGTTGGTCGTTGCACATCATGATCCTCATGAGTCTGAGTAGCATTAACATCTTTCTGGACTAGATGAGGTGTTGGTGAAGCGGTAGAAATATTTCTACCTGTATTATCGACGATATGTTCTATAATAGGCGGAGTCTGAAGAATATCCCTCTCCCTCACGATAGGAGGTTCCAAAGACCGGGGAGCTACAACTGGGGGTTGAATGGTTGTCATATTGCCTACGAGGATATTGACGTCTTCCGGGGTATCCTTCTGATGATCAATAGTGTCAAAAACATGGTGTTGATCGGGATGAGATAGAATCACAGCCTCTAGCAGAGCACTTTGTTTTTTTGGTCTGAGGTGGTGGTGTAGATGGTGACATTGAGAACTGGAGTGGCCGAACATACGACAGTTCAAACGATACGACGGAAAAGACTCAATCTTTACATTATGCCAATATCCATAGTGTTGTGTGCTCAACCAGATTTCCCCAGAAGCGGGTGAAGTGATATCTTTATCAACAAGTAGTCTGACTTCAGATGAACAAGAAAGATTAAAAGTAGGAATGCTCATCTTGAGTGGCTTTCCGTAAGCTGATGCAATAGAGTACAATACTTTTTGAGAAAAATAATAAAATTTCAAACCAGGGAGTCGAATCCAAACCGGAATGATTGACCATTTCAGAATATTCATTGCTCTTTTATCAATCCAGATTATCCTTCTAACAAATAAACACATTTAATTTGAATCAATAGTGTCAAAAACATGGTGTTGATCGGGATGAGATAGAATAACAGCCTCTAGCAGAGCACTTTGCTTTTTTGGTCTGAGGTGGTGGTGTAGATGGTGACATTGAGAACTGGAGTGGCCGAACATACGACAGTTCAAACGATACGACGGAAAAGACTCAAT